CTTCCAGTTTCATCTAGAGGTGAATATGATAACCATACTCCAGCTAGGGTTGATGTGGTCCCTCAAAGGAAAATTTTGTTCTGTGCTCAAATAATCTAGTTAAATAATTTTTTTTACTTTTATGTGCATGTATGTATGTATGTATGCATTATGTATATATGTCTCTCTGTTTGTATATGCATGTGAGTACAGCACACAAAGAGACCAGAAGAGGGCGTAAAATCCTCTGGAGATGGTTGTGAGCTGTTCAACATGAGAACTTGAAACAGAATTCATGTCCCCTGAAATGATATACTTGTTCTTAACAACTGAGCCACCGCTTCAGCCTCTAGAAAGCATATGAATGTACTTGTACATGACACATTTTCACAATTGGAGTTATTTTCGCAACAGGCCTCTGAAGGGGTATCTACTTCACCCAATCTTAACCAATGATGTCTATCTATTATTATACAGTACACTGCTATTTTCATTTTTGTTGGATAGCTTAACGTGTGCACCATGATATTCTTGATCTATGGATATGTAGATATTTGTTAGTACAGTCAAGCAAATGAGGACACTGTTATCTCATGTAGCTGATGTTCTCTCTTGATAAATTACCAGCTTATAAAAGTATTATTAATACAGGTCTTATGCTCTATTCTAGATCTTAACTTATTCATACTATAATACACATGCCTTTTGAACTACTTTTTCATACCCCTACCCTACTCCCTTTCTAGCCCTGTGACCACCATTTTTGTTTTTTATAGTTTGTTTTATTGCTTATTTTCTTAGACTTCTTATTTAGGTAAGATTTTCAGTGCTTTTCTACTTGGATTACTTTCTTAGCATAAAGTCCTCTGAAGTCACACAACTACATATGACAGGTTGCAGAATACCTTATGCAAGTATGTATGCTAGGATGTCTTTGTTAATTCCTCTGCTGATTCACACTTGAGCTGTTTTCCATGTCTTGGCTAGGTATCATTGCAGGTATCATTGTACATCCATTATTCCATATCCTTGGGTGTATACCCCACATTGCAGGGCAAAGTATCAGTTGACTTGTGTTTAATAAGAATATGCATGTCATGTCAATTCTCTGAACCCCTTCTGTTTTCTAATATTAGCTAGGCATGGTTTTTCTAGTGTCTACCTCAATTACTTTTCTAATAGCTGCTATTGATAATTATCTTCTTTTCTTTGAGGAGAAAAACCCTATTCTTGTATTAATATATGTGCCTTTAAAATGCTAAATGTTATGGGTTTCAAAACAAAATGTGACATACAGTTTAATTTTTTTCTAAGAACAAAGTATGTGGCTCTTATAAATAAATGTGAATTTATGTTAGTACAATAAAGAAATCAGACACAAAAAGTTTAAACCAACTAAGCCAGGTGTGGTGGCGCTTGTGAGACAGACAGGCAAATCTGTAGGAATTTGATGCCAATCTGGTCAAGAGAGCAGATCCCAGGCCAGCGAGGGCACAAATGAAAAGCCAGTCTCAAAAAGAAATCAACTGCAAAATCATTGCCTTACCACCTCCATGCATCAATTAAGGCAGCAGGGAAGGGAAAACCTGGCCATGTCCATTTGCTTTTTTAAATATGTATTTATTGTGTATGCAATGTTCTGCCTGCATTTACTTCTGTAGGCCAGAAGAGGACAGAAGATCTCATTGTGGATAGTTGTGAGCCACCATGTAGTTGCTGGGAATTGAACTCGGGACCTCTGGAACCACTGAGTCATCTCTCTAGTCCGCTCCATTTGCTTTTGATGACCTGGATTTAGATATACATAGACACATCACAGATCAGTTAACCTGAGCTTGAGCCATCATCCTCCACTATAAAGAAACCATGGATAGTACTTCTCCCTCAAAACTCAAAAGCTACATTCTATTCTAGAGAATGCAGCAAAGATTAACTGCTTGTTCATGATTGTTCCAGGGTATCTGGGTTGCCAGCTCTGTCCCAGTGTTCTTTGGAAGTGATACCTGGAAGCTATTTTCCAGTCAATCCCAAGTCACCTGTTAGAGCTTACAAAAGAGCAAACAACATTTGCTCATGATAAAGACTCAGTTCTAGCCATCATAAATATTATCAATTGCTTTTTGAAGGTTCATGGAGATAAAGAAAAATCATTTCATTGTGTTCACTTAACCTTGGGGCTGAATTAAGACAGACTCTGATGATTGTGTCTGGGACTTCTAGGATGTACAGAGATCATTTGTAAGTCTGGATAAAGTTAGGAATTTTAACTCACCCTTATCATAATTCATTTGATTAAGGACCATCAGACTCTGAATAAAAGCCAGTAGCAATTCAATTAGAAATAATACTCCCTTTTCTCTTAATTTGTCTTACATCCACAAGACCAGCACAAGGAACCTTAATAAATATGTCTGGTTAATATTTGAAGTAATTTACATGCACACACTTACATAATGACTGGGAACTCGTGCAAAGTGCTACACAATGCACCATACAATACACACTTTGTACAACTCCAGATCATTGCCAAGAAGAGGGATGCTAATCCTAGAATTATTAGGAGAAATGTGGGTGCTAAAGAGTTGCTCAGAGATTAAAAGAACTCACTACTCTTAAAGACCTAGATTCCGTTCCCAGCAATCACATAGCAGATTGCAACTCCAGTTCCAGGGGATCCAATAAGTTCTGGCCTCTGAAGGCACCGGACATGTACATACCACACCCCACATACATGTAGAAAAACACTAATATAAACGTAAAATAAATTTTAAAATCTCTTTTAAAAGATAAAGGAAAATGAAATAATTTTATCTAAAAGGAGAACCAACATATAACCATTTTCCCACGGGCTAACACACAAACTGCATGGGCAGTGTTCCATTTGAAAAGGTGTCTCCTCAGCATCAATTTTGCAGAAGTGTGCATCTAAAGACACAGTGAATCAAGCATTGTGCTGGCCGTGAGCCAGGGCTGGCTACAAACCCTGCACACTCTTCTTAACTCATGCCGTACTGTGTGAAAGTAGAAAGTCTGGGACAGAGACGGCTGTTCTCTATGCCAGGAAGATATTTCCTTCTATTTATGTGTGAACTGATTTATGAATTTTATAAATGTTAGTACACCATAGACATACAAGGAACGGTTCTTGAAACCAAAACCTGCTGTGTGGTGATGTATATTTTCAACTATGGGAGGAAGATGGAAAATTGGAGATGCTCCTGTTTTGCCTGTACTTTGAGGCTAACTTTGAGGATCCCGAATAAAGTATGTTTCCTTCTCCTTTTTGTCTGTGCTGATTTTTGTTTAGGATCTAGGAATGGAGTTGGATGAAAGAGCAAGAAGTTCTTAAAGTAATCTTGCTCTAGATGTAGGAGAAAACAAAGCAAAAAAAAAAAAAAAAAAACCAAAAGATTAAAGCCAATGAAGTTAGAAAGCTGTCCTCTGGGGCCAAGCAATTGCCATGAATATGTTTTGAAATGTCCTTGTGAGTCCCAAGGAGCAGCTGCAACCACACCACCACCCAGAGCCCAGCCAGCTGTCAGTTGCTGGGAGTTGGCAATCCTGGATCTTGAGGTGCACCCAACCTCCAAAGTTATAGTGCTTTCCCCAGGCATTTGAAGAGGCTAGACGGCCCATCATGTTACATGTAATGCATACACTACGCTGAACATAGAGAAGCATGTTTTCAGTAGCAGACATTTGGATCCCAGTGACCAACAAATGAACGCTAAGCTCGAGTTATTTGTGATGTTCAAGAGTCTTGCCCATTCCTAACCCTTGTCAGGCTCTGTCTGATGAGTTGTATCTTCCTCGCAGCTTTTCTGTTCACCCAGTGGGCTGTTTGCTTGTTTGGTGTTTTTGTTTGTTCGTTTGTTATCAACTTGACACATGCTAGAGTCATCACCAAAGAAGGAATGTCAACAGTGGGGTATTTTCTTGATTAAGGAATGATGCTGAAGGACCTAACTCTTGTGGGCAGGACCATCCCAGTGCAGTTGGCATTGGGTTGAATAAGAAGGCAGGCAGAGCAAGCCATGGGGAGCAAGCCTCTGCCTCCAGGTTTCTGTTGGAGTCCCTGCTTTGATTGCCCTCAAAAGACAGACTCAGCTCAAGTCAAGTAAGCCAAATTAACCCTTTTCTCACCAGATCAGTTTGGGCCATAGTGTTTACCACAGTACTAGAAAGCAAAATCAGGCACTTAGTTTACAAATTCTCATACACACAGAAACACACACACACACACACACACACACACACACACACACACACACACACACACACACTTTTTCCCCAGTCTGTGCTAAATTTTTAACAGACAACCCTGCAAACAGAACACTTCCTGGGGAAAAAAGAGGTGTTTCTTCCCTTTTCTCCTCCTGCAGCTTGGAGTGCAGAATAAAAGTCAACTGAAGTCAGTCCCCACCCCCTCACCCCCACACACACCTTATAAGCATTTATTTTGTTTCTCAGGAAACCCACCGGTTAGCAAGTTGTCCTCAGGACTCTGTGAAATGGTTTTTGTGACTCTCTAAACCAAAGTTTATGCGAAGTTTGATAATAGTTCTGTTATCTTGCTCTTTTCCTCTTCATTTTGGGCAAAATGGTAAATGGAGAGAAAAATAAATAAATAAACGTTGAGCCTCAACAGAAATGTTTCTAACGTCTCAACATAATGGCTGGATATTCCTCAAACTGAAATTAAAGCCCAGGAAAGTTCCTTGTTTGCGTTGTGTATCCCTAGGAAGCCATTTGCCAAGCTCTGGCTGCCTGGCTCTCTGCCTCCAGGAATGCCAATCAGAGGACATTCTTTTCCAGGCAGCCAAGTTTGGAAGTCAGTTGGTTTCTGGTCGTGAGGAGGGCGGGGGCAGGGGGGTGTTGACAGGAGGAGCCAGCGAGTCCTCAGCTGATCTTCAGTTTGCAAAGGTTTCTGGAATATCCTTCAATGAAAGCGGTTCCTTTTACCCAGGAGGACACAGGTAAAAGGACAGCTGAGTAAATCAGCTTTAGGTGGGTGGAAGCTCCCTAGTAGGGAGGGGCGGAGGGAGACCTTTGAAAGCCTGCCATTGGTGAGTTTACCAGAGGCATCTGCCAGTGGGACTTCAGTGGAATGTGAAACCAAATCTTTTTCAAGTTAAAGATAGTCACAGTGGATGCCAGAATCTGGAAGCCGGGCTTTTAAACTCCGGTCTCTCTCCAGAATTTCAGAGTTGGTTGTGGTCTCGGAGCTAATTAGCAATTTGACTAAAATCTGTTCTTCCCATGGGCACACCAGCAATCACGGTGCATGCTGGGTGACCTGGGCTTGAAAGGGCTGAGGAGTGGATGCTGTGCCTGATCTGGGTAAGTCAGAACACCTGGACTTGGAGGCGCATCTCTGGGAAGGTGGAACCTTGGCTTTTGCTTTGTGAGTGGTATGAATGAAAGAGCTGTTGGCATTGTGCCTGGATGGAGCCGCTTTCCTTTCTGGAAGTAGGTGGACTTGGGTATTGGCGAGTGGCAGAAGGAAAGCCAGTGCTGCTGTTTTTCAAGTTTGCATTTCAGAGTTCTAACTTCAGTGGAGCCTGGAGCCTTGTTCTTTCCCGTTAACCCTGAAGCACCCAAGGCTTATGGAGTTGGGAGTTATGGGTGGGAAGACACTGAGATGGAGCATAGCTTCATGGCATAGCACTGTTTTCAACTGAGAAAACAAAGTATTAATAGCTGTTGTTTGGGGCATCACCTCGTTAATTCTAAGCAGTTGCTTTGCCCCCAACTAGCTGGTATCTGCTGAGTGAAAGAAGGAGTTCTGATTATAAAGAACTCCAGAGAAGAGGGAGGCAGGGAGGGAGGGACACAGTCCTTAAATTCGCAATTGCCATGTTGTATTTTGGCTATTCAGATGTCTCGTCACCAGGAGAAGGGGGAACTTCAGTTCCTCACTCTTTGCCCATGTATAGGTCTTGTTTCTTGTTTGGTCAAGTGACCTCTCCCTTTCCTCTTAGCGACATCTTTTCCAGACTCACACAGCATTCCTTCTGAATAAATATTGTCCATAATAGTCACAGAGTACATTGTGTGAATTGGAGATTCTCCTTTATATGGGGAAAATAAGTGGGCTGATGCCCTCCTGACAGAGTGAGGGGCCTGGGGTAACCCGCCTGGTGTCGCTCTGCCAAATAGACCCGACTTCGATGAAGCTGACTGAGGTTGATGCAAGCAGCGAGCGACTGGTTTAATGTGACTCCTTCACACGGCTTTGATAACAAGAAGTACTGTAGTATGTCGTTCCTCTAAGCCAAAAGGTAGACATTTGAAAGACAGAGTAAAACTTACGACTGCTGAGCACCAGGACAAGGACAAACAAAATGTGAAATCAGCAGAGCCCAGGACTGGTCTGTCCAGCCTTGTGTGTCCACTGCCACCTCCAAGCTTCCTTCTCCTTTAAGGTCCCTCTGAATAATGAAGCTAAGTGCCCAAGACCTGTCTGAAAGGAGGAACCTGACCCAAGTATTTTCAAGTCTTCCTCTATGGATTGGAAATGTATGCATTTTGTTAGAAGTACCTATCCTTCAAGGAGTTTAGGCTCTTCATTAAGTGTTTAGTGATACTTAGACATAGTCCATTATATTACACCAATTGCAAGTAACTCTCCATCACCTACCAGCAGACAGTACCTTAGCAAATGTTTTCCGAGTCACATTGGGTAATGAATAATATTGTTTGAGTAGCTGTGTTCTGAATGGCTGACAGTAAGAATTAAGCTGGCAGAAATTTGTGACTACATGAAGCAGAACACAGGACACACAGAGACATGGAAGGAAAATCTGTCATTTATGCATCTGGTTCAGTTATACCACTATTTAATGTTTTATGTGTTGAGTTTTTGGCTTTTGATTTTCAATGTATACAACAAGAAAAACTCAGCGTTCAAATTTCTACCATGTAATAATTTTTCACTGAGATCGACATGTAAAATAAAAAGTAAATAAAAAAATCACTTAAAAAAAAGAATTTTTCACAATGTGGCTAATACTAACAGTATCAACAAATACTGACAAGATTGGCAAATGCAAGTATGTGTCTTCCCAGTGTTGCATCACTGTTAAAGTTTCTAATCCCGTGACAAGATTGAAAGCTGGGATTTTCTTCCTTTGAACATGGTGAAGGTTGTTGCCTTTTGATATGTGTCTGTTAATTATAGCTTATGTGTTACTTGATATGTTTCTGTTATTACTGCCCATCTCATCTTCACTTGTGGTGTCTTGTCTTCTTAATACCTCAGATAATTTTGCTTTAAGGTGAAAATGTATCTTGAGATTCACTCATTGAACCTGGCATGGTGGCACCAACCTGTAATCCCAGCATTTGGTAGTCCAAGTTAGGGGGCTCACTGCAAGTTCAAGTGGTTGGAGCTACTTCTATTTCAAAATGAGTAAGTGAATGGATGATTAAAACAATCACTTGTAAGGGTATTCAGAGATCTAATTAGGATGGTGGTTTCCTGTGGAGAAGGAAGCAGGTGGCAGACTGGAAATACTTAGACAAAGTACCCCTGGCGCCTTGAGTTCTTTCTGTGATAGAAGCCCGCTTGCAGGCAGTCTGAGCAGAGGTTCATTGTAGGCTCACTCTGTCCCAGTGGAAGATATAGTCATTCCAGATCCCAGCATGCACTTGACCAAAGACTTTGATGTTTTGATGAAGTCTGTCAAGCCACCAGAAGGAACTGTGTTCTGTAGTCTTGTTTGCTCATGTAGTCATATGCCAAGGGGAAAAACTTTGTGCTGTAAAGTTTCACTTCCCTCTCCAACTTCTAACACTTTAATTTTATTTATTATTTTTTAACATGTATCTGTGTGTGTGATGGGGTGATCACATGCTGTGTCACTTCTGTGGAGGTCAGATGACACTTTTGTGGAGTCTGTCCTCCCCTTCCATCTTTATGTGGGTTCCAGAAATCCAACTCATGTTGCCAAGCTTGCATGACAAGTGATTTTATCCACTGAGCCACCTCATCATCCCACTGGTTTCTAAGTTTTCATTTGCTCAATTATCACATTGTGATGGACTGTACACTGTTTTTCTATTCCTGATACTTCTACTTATTTGACCAGAGCCCTGCGTCCAAGTATCTGTGCTGTGACCATTATAAGAGATGACCATTCACTCTACTGAGTCATCGTTCCTTAAAAACACATCTTCACCCTAGACAATACATTTCACAGTTTTCTGTTGCCATTGATAATTTCAGGAAGTTTTTTTTATTCATTTGTCTTTTACTTTTTAGCTGTGCTCTGATTTGTTTAAGACTGGAGAAAATTATGCACACTTGCTGAGGGAGGGCTCATGGTCTCCAGCTACATATGAATTGTCTACAATACTCAGCAATTCTTTTACTTGTCCCTAGCTGCTTTCCTAGAGAATCTCTCTAATCTCTAATCCACCCATTCTAGCCACTTCAGCTGTTCACAAAATTTGACTCTTCCAGCTTTCTCTCTGCCTGCATTCAGTATCAACACATCTTTTTAGATTATTGTAAGTTAACCCTCTCCAACCCTCCATTCCCATACCGTCACTCTGCTTTCAATCTTTATCATCTCACTTGGTTGCTCTTTTATTCTTACAGTTATTCCTTGGCCTCTGGGCCCACGCCACCATCACCCATTCATTGTACATCTCTTGGATTAGACAAATATCTTTTTTTTCTTAGAACCACAGCTGCTAGTGATTAGAGAACTCCAACAGCCTTCAGAATAATAATATTCCATCTCTAGCACTTCCTGCAAGGCCTGTCACAAAGTGTCACTCCATTCCTTTACTATCTCTCCACTTCTTTTCTGGTCACCACCAACACTTTACTCAAACATAACTGCAGTCTTCAGCATCTGCCATATACCAGGACAGTGTGTGAAAGTCCATAGAATCATTTTTCTTTCCCCAGAGCGCTTGCTGCTCTTCAACTTTCACCTCAGATGTCAGTCTCCATGTGTTTTCCCTATCTTCAGGGCTCACCACTGCGATTCCCACTGTCCACAGCAGCGCCTTACTGATTTTTGTACTATGAGTAACCGACACACACACCAAAACAAAACGAACAAACAAAACCATTCACTACAGGTTAAAGAAATGAATAATGGAATATTTCCAGGACTGTTGTTCCTGCCTGGGCAACTTCTTCCTTTTTTTTTTTTTTTTTTTTTTTTTTAATGTCACTTACTCTTATTCATTCTCTATGTTTTGATCTCAGCATAGTGATCATTGATAATGATAAATGCCAAGTAGAATCAGAAAAGGTTTGCTTGTCTGGCAGAGACAATTCCTTTGGAGAAATGGAACTAATGGCCATGTCAATGCCAAATGAGACCAACTGATAACAAGGCTAATGTGTTAGCAGCAAAGAGAAATGAGTGGGCTGCACAAGGAGAGGTTTGTAGTCAAAGGACAGGCACAGTATGCAGAAAGGAGTAATAGGTTCAACCGCTCATGTTCAGGCTGTGGAGGTGGCTCAGATGGTGAAGTCTGTACCTTGTAAGCAAGAAGCTTACATTATGTTATTCCCCCAACCAAGTGTGGAGACATGAATGTGGAATTCAGTTCTGGAAAGCCAGTGACAAGTAAATTCTTGGGGTTTGATGGCAAACTTGCCTAGCCTATTGGAGAGTCCAAGGTCAATGAGAGTCCTTATCCTAAAATCAAGGAAGGAAAGAAGGAAGAAAGGGAGGGAGGGAGGAGAGGAGGGAGGGAAGAAGGGATGGAGAGAGGGAGAGGAAATGAAGGAAAAAGGGAAGGGAAGGGAGGAATGAAGGAAGGAAACAGAAGGAAGGAGAGAGAGAAGGAGGGAGGGAGGGAATGAGGGAGGAAGGAAGGCAGATGGCATCTGTAGAATGATATCCAAGATTGGCTTCTGATCTCTACGTACATATGTATACACATGTGTACACATACACACACACACACACACACACACCTACCTCATCAGGAACACTTAATAGCACACGAGAAAAAAAAAAACAGTGAAAAACTAAATTACAATAAATCACCTTGCATGCTGTCAGAATATCAACTATAAGAAAATACTATATTTTCAGACCACAGTGTTGCATGAAAAATGAAGTATTTAATAGCTTATGTACTGTGACTTCATTCCTCTAAATTACAAAGTTGTTTGAACTTTTTTCCTTAAAATTGAAGGCCATCAAGTACAGTGTTGATGTCATGTTAGTATCAGCATATGCTAAGTAGATAACATCCCCAGTTAATGAAGAATTGAATATGAATATGAATTGAATTAAATATGGAAGCCAAAGGAAGTTCATTTTTGGTAAAGCTGTTTAATCAATTTTGACTCTTCATACTGTTTGCAA